TTTAAGTTTGAATCTGTATTGGACAAACAAGCAGTATGCTTTTCCAATTAATTTTAAAGTCACATTTATTTGCCTTTTTATTTTGATAATGTTTGATTTTTTTTCTTTTTAAAGTAAAATCACTAAGCTTGTGCAATGGTTGCGTGGAAGTTATCTGAGGCGTCTCGTGTGACTGTGCTTCAGCTAGTGTGGATGTAGCTTAAATTATAAAAACTAAAGATTCAAGAGCAAAGAAGTGCTGCCCACATCTAAGAGAACATAGAGTCTTCATAACTGATTAACATTATGCCCCTGATTCGTACGGGGTTTAAATTAATTCTTTGGGCTAGAATACCAGAAATATTATTGTCCATTTTCATCTAAGATCTTTATTCTCTAACGTTCTTGGTCCTGTTGAAACATTTCAGTATATAAAAAAATACTGCAATGTTACTATCCAAGAGAAAAGCCATTATCATGTGTATACTGGTCATCAAGATCAGTGTGGTACAGTTTTTAAAAAAATAAACTATCATGCCCTTCAAGCCATCATTTGTCTTTATTTCTAGAATTTGTAACTCTGATACGGACCTGTTGATGGGAGGGGCGTCCACTTCAGCGTGGTTTGCAGTTGTGGTTACAGAGTTCCTTATGTGCCGTGGCTGCAGTGCAGTGGAACTGGTTCTGTGGCCGTGCGGCTCATGCCTTTATCCTTCAGGCGGTTCTGTCGGAGTCCAGCTCCCCCCAGGAGGGAGACTCACGGCTGAGACAAACCGGTGCGTGTTGGCTAACGTGAGGGCAGCAGTTGGCGCTTTCAGGCTTCCCTGGGAGAGCTGTGTTTATTCTTAGCAGTTCTTCCGATTCTCAAATGTGGATTTTTAATTGCCTGAAGTTTTTCTGCTGTTCTCCTAATTCAGAACTTGGAAAGTGTTTTTGTCTGTCAAGTCAGGCGTGTGAAGTTTGTATATAGATTTTCATATGTCATTCTTTACTAAGTTCACTGCTATCAGCCTTTTCTCCGTTTGTCTTTATTTTCTCAAAATCTGATGCCATATCTGAGTCTGATACCTTTAAATCCACATACATTATTTAATTTTTCATGTCCAGCTTTATGTTTGGTTAACAGAAGAAGTAAAACAGGGTATTTTTATTTAAACACTAGAAGTGTTAAAATATTTTTCCCCTCAAGATGTTATTGATTCAGATTAGCCATGGTTATCTTTTTAAAAATAAACAAAAGTTACTTTATTTCTCAGCTTCAGTGGAATGTTACAATGATTGTTTCTCCATTCAGGATGAATTTATGTAGTGTGAGACTTACACAGAGAAATAGATGCATATATGCCCTGAATTAAGCTTTTGTCTGTAGTTGCCATGTAAATTCTTCTTAAAACTCTAGCTGGTTGCCTTAATTTAGAACCATAAGCCTTTCAGGTAGTCTCACCCAGTATTTGCTTACATTAGTAATATCATTGTTTAAGCACATAGTAATGGTAAGATGTTTGGAGAAAATAGCTATCCTGTGTCAGGACTTAACACAGAATAGGAGCTGAAGTATTTTGCATACTGTCTGTCTGTCTCTGTTGGTTGCCAGCTCAGACCTTCCCAAGCCAAAAATACTAACACAGGGACTTGCAGTGTCCTGAAAGCAGCCAAAGTCCCATCTGGAATTACGCTTACCCGCCTCGTGAGGATTTTATCTAGCAGCTGCTGGTCTCTGCAGATCTGTTTCGTTCTCCCTTCCCCTCCCCTCTGCATCTCCTTCCCGTCCTCCAGTCCCTTGTGGCCTGACTCTCCCAGCATCCTACAGTGTCCACAGTAGCTCTGCAGTCTTGGTTCACAGGACCATGCTGGACCCCTGTCTCTAGATGCACAAGTACTTCATAGTTTGAGAAGTTCTCTCAAAGGGTGTGTGCCAGGGAAGAAAGAAATCATTGGTTCCTCTCAGTACAAGATTTACCTAGCGCTCTATGAAACAAGCCCCTGAGGAAGACTTCAGTTAATAGATGAGTTAAAAAAAAAAAATCGGAGTGGTTTCATGTCTTTTGCCCGAGATTACACGAGCTAAATGATGGTGCTGAGACTCAAACTACTCAAACCTGGACTTCACTGAAGGCCACTCTGCTTTTTAGAAATGGCTAAACCTCCCCAGGGCTGCTGGGGTGTAGGGTGATGGGATTGCTACCATCCTTTGGGCACCGAACATGAACCTCTTCCAGTATGTTCTTTGTACCCATTTCTACTGGGAAAGATAAGGGTCTGAGCTACCCTGCTTTATGTCTCTTCGTGGAAAGGGAGGGCTGCAGCCCAATGGAGGAGACTGGGCGCCTTGTTAAGTGGAACCTTCTGGTATTGTTCAGCTCTCACTTTCGTGCAGATAGGAGCACATGTCAGTTACCATAAAAACGGCCCTGGTCAGCCGTAGGTTGTGACGAGTAGCACTTGGTCACAGGTGGGGCCTTCCGCCAGTTCTGTGAGCCTGAGAAGAGGTGGAGGCTGTGGGAGGAGGCTGCTGCGCTTGGGCTCCAGGGCCAAGAATCCAGCAAGTCCCAGCAGTGAGAGCCCAGGCCTCCCCGTGCTGTCCCAGGCTTCCGAGGTGCAAAGTAGTTAGGATTGGCTCCTGGCTGCAGTGACCACAGATTCTTCTCGCTTGGCCCTAACCCCTGGATGTCCTAATCCCATTGCTTCTGTGGCAGATGTGGAGCTTGAATCTAACTTCACAGAGTGAACTTGTTCCAGTGGTGTGCCAAGGATAAGGCCAGTTGTCCTGAGAAGTTACCTTCAAGAGAGTTTCGGAACACTCAGCGTCTGCGACTTTCGTGGCTGTGTGTCCAGCCAGTTTTCCCAGAAATGATCTCTAAGTTTGAAGTGGTCACAAACATCAGTTCTGGGTTCCTCTGTGGTTTACATTCTTGGTCACTCCAGGAAGTGGCTCTCAGAACTTAATAATGGCTGAGTGGATGGGCTCTGTAAACGGAGCCAGCATTTTAGTGAGAAAGGCGGCAGTTCTGTGCCAGCAATTTGGGTCACAGCCTCATTTCCCCACTGTGGATGGCCAGTCTCTGTGCCTCAGTTTCCTCAGTTAAATGGGATAGGTCTACTTAGATTTTATTGCGTTGTTGAGGGTATTAGTTTAATGGTCATTTAAAGGTCCTTAACCATTTAGCAATCCATACTGCCCAACAAGCATGCAAAATGATAAACATTCTAGCATAGGGGACTTAATGCAGGATAGCCGTGATCCTGAACTCTGGCTGTGGGCTAGTTGCTTCAAGCTCTCTCAGCCGCTTTTCTCACTTATGATGGGAGATAGTATCCCATTTATGAGAATTAAGTGGCAAATAAACCCTGGATGCAGGGCATGAGAAGACTAGGGATATAGTAGAGATCTGTGGTTATGCGAGATGAAAGTCTGAATTAGTGAGAACAGTAACACAGCTCAGCAATGGAAAATGAAGGATTCCCTACTTGGATCCTGGTCCTGAGTAGTCCTGCCTGCCCAGCCAGGCTGCCGGAAAACCCTGTGCTACCTTCCTGCCGCCCTGAGCCTCAGCTGTGGTGGCAGCATGGGCTGACACCTAGAGTGGCTCTGGAGCCCTCCCAGGGATTGGTGGACCACACTTGGGGGTGTGCGTGATGGGTCGTGGAGGTGTGGCCTTGGGGTTTCTGTCTGGTCCC